AAAATCCTAGCTGGACTCAGTGGCTCAGCCTGTAATCCTGCGCCTTTGGGAGGCTGAGGTGAGTAGATTGCCTGAGCCCACGGATTCGAGACCCGCCTGGGCAGTGAGACCTCATCTCTACAATAAATCAAAAAAATCAGCCGGGCGTGGTAGTACATACCTGTAATTCCGGCTACTTGGGAGGCTGAGGCAGAAGGATCACCGGAGCCCAGCAGGTCGAGGCTGCGGTGGCCGGGAGCGGCCACCTCACTCCAGTCCAGGCAACTGAGTGAGACTCCAACTCAAAAAAAAAAAAAGAAAGAAAGAAAAAATCCTAAAGGCAGCAAGAGAAAAGGGTCATACTACCTACCAGGGAAGACCAATTAGAACAGCAGCAGATTTATCTACAGAAACCCTCCAGGCTAGGAGAGCTTGGAACCCTATCTTTAAAGTTCTAAAAGATAAACAATTTCAACTGAGAATAACCTACCCAGCCAAGCTAAGCTTCATCATTAAGGGAGAATTGAAATCATTCCCAGATATCCAATCCCTAAGAACCTACACTGCCACCAGACAACTTCTACAAGAAACACTCAAGAAAGTATTGAACACAGAAGAAAAGGAAAAAAGAACAACAATGTTCTTCACAAGAGTGTAGGCAACAGATTAAAAACACACATGAATCAACTCCAGAACCAAAAGGAAGACAACACACAAACAGAAAGAACAACAACTCTGAAAGAACATTATGATAGGGATCAGCCCTCACATTTCAATAATTAGCTTGAATGTGAATGGACTAAACGCACCACTGAAAAGACATAGAATGGCAAAATGGATAAAATATCACCAGGCAACAATTTATTGCCTTCAAGAGACTCACCTCACTAGAAAGGACACTCATAGACTCAAAGTAAGAGGGTGAGAAACAAATTTTCAGGTGAACGGAACACAAAAGAAAGGGGGAGTCATGATCTTAATCTCAGACAAAATACCCTTTAAGCTATCAAAAATCAAAAAAGATACAGAAGGCCACTACATAATGATAAAAGGTTCAATCCATCAACAAGAAATATCCATACTAAACATATATGCACCCAACATAGGAGCACCAACTTTCATAAAGCAGCTTCTGGGTAAACTACAAAAAGATATCAACTCCAACACCATCATAGCTGGGGACTTCAATACCCCACTCACAACCCTAGACAGATCATCAAGACAAAAAATCAGCAACGAGATCTGAAACCTCAATGTGACTCTTGACCAAATGGATTTAATTGATACCTACAGAACACTCCATCCAAGACCACAGAATATACATTCTATTCATCCCCACATGGAATGTACTCTAAGATAGACCACATACTTGGCCATAAATCAAGAATAAGCAAATTTAAAAGGACCGAAATTTTACCATGTACCTTCTTGGACCACAGTGGAATAAAAATAAACATTAAAACCAACAAGGCCCCCCCCAAACCCACAAAGACATGGACACTAAACAGCATGATGCTAAGCAACTCCTGGGTCAACAATGAAATCAAAACAGAGATTAAAAGGTACCTAGAAACAAATGAAAATGAAGAAACATCTTACCAAAATCTCTGGGATGCCATGAAAGCTGTAGTAAGAGGGGAATTTATATCCCTACAAACGCACATGAAGAAAATGGAAGGATCACAAATTAATAGCCTAACAAGCCACCTAAGAAAGTTGGAAAGCAAGACCACCAAAACCCTAATTTCAGCAGAAGAATCCAGAGCACCAAAATAAAAGCCCAAATCCAGGACATAGACAAAAAGATAATACAAAAAATCACTGAAACAAAAAGCTGGTTCTACGAAAGGATAAATGAGATCAATGGTCCCCTAGCTAGACTGACCAAGAAAAAGAGAGAAAAAAGTCTAAATTAACACAATCAGAAAAACAAAAGATGAAGTCACATTCGACCCTGAAGAAATACAAAAGATCATTAGAGACTACTATGTACACTTGTATGGAAACAAACTTGAAAACCATAAGGAAATGGAGGA